ATGATTAATTAATTAATGGTATGAATAAAAGGTTTTAAGAGAGGATCATGAGTCATGCTAAGGGATTAGGCATGAGATCACTCAAAAGAGGCAGAATGATATTACATTGAATGATCAAATGCATCTAAGAATGTATTGTGACAAGATTACTTATTAATAGTATTAATAAGTATACTTAATATGCTTTAATTTGGACAGAAAATGATTATAAATTATGTGTGATGATTTGGACGTCTAAAATGATATTTTTGGACTAAGAATGACTTGTTGCATAAGCGTATAAAATTTCGTGGAAATCGGACCCCGTTTGGATGGTCAAACGGGCGTTGACCAAAATGTTGACCGGTTGCCCAAGGGATAACCGGCGCCGGTTATAGGCAAAACCGGCGCCGGTTATGGTTCGGTTTACTACAAAAAAATCAGTAAACCGGCGCCGGTTATGGGTAAAACCGGCGCCGGTTATGTCTCGACTTTCAGGACTGATTTTTGCTAAAAACCCAAATCGGACCCGGTTCGACGTGGGATTAATTCTGGCCATCCTATATATGAATATTTTGCACGGAATTGCATGAAATATGATGTTTAAAATGATAAGGCTTGGAATACGGTTTAAATGCTAAGACTTGGACTAGTCGTTAGTAAAGAAATTATAGACCACGACCGGGCGAGGTACGTGGTAGATTATACATGACGGGTGAATACCCGGGACCAAGTAAGGTTATATAATACTCTGTAGGACGAGGAGGAGTCCTCTACACTCAAACGTTAACAAGGGCCCGTGTAGTCCTTGAGGTGTGTTAACCTCCAGCAAATTACACATAGGTAACAAGGGCAAATGCAGTCCTTGAGGTGTGGTATCCTCCATCAAATTGCATATAGGTAACAAGGGCCCGTGTAGTCCTTGAGGTGTGTTAACCTCCAGCAAATTACACATAGGTAACAAGGGCAAATGCAGTCCTTGAGGTGTGGTATCCTCCATCAAATTGCATGTAGGTAACAAGGGCCCGTGTAGTCCTTGAGGTGTGTTAACCTCCAGCAAATTACACGTAGGTAACAAGGGCAAATGCAGTCCTTGAGGTGTGGTATCCTCCATCAAATTGCATATAGGTAACAAGGGCCCGTGTAGTCCTTGAGGTGTGGTATCCTCCAGCAAATTACACATAGGTAACAATGGCAAGTGCAGTCCTTGAGGTGTGGTATCCTCCATCAAATTGCATATAGGTAACAAGGGCCCGTGTAGTCCTTGAGGTGTGTTAACCTCCATCAATTTACACATAGGATGAGGGTGTATGCGTACTCCTCAAGGCGGGGTTAACCTGGAAATGAAAACTATGATAGTAAGGACGGATAGTCCTCGAGGTAGGTGAACCTCAAGGTAATGATTTTAAATGATTAAACGTGCTTGATCGGGAACGAGTTTCCGATAAGATATTTTCCTTGGTCTAGGAATTGATTTAAACCATGTTCGTGATATGGGAGTCCGAAGGCCCCCCATAGTAATTATATTTTGATATCGGGTGAGTTAGCCTGCGGGTGACTCCACTCGAGGGTAAGACATGGGAAGGGTGAATTTAATAAGGCTGTTATGCCTAAATGATTTGAAAGACAAATGGTCCCACGTGCCGGATATTTTACTCATATGTATATATGTATACATTTGTTTTGAAAAGGGGTAGCTAAGAGTTATGCCCATAATTATACTATCACCCTATTTTGAGGGTCTCACGTGAGAAACGTTAGTTACATTACATACAGTTTGCCCTCACCAGTACTTTTCTGTAGTACTAATCCCTCGGGGGAACCACCCTTTCAGGTTGAAGCTAGAGCTTACTTCCTGCACCCGTTGCTCGGGAGATCGATGGAGAGAAGACGTGGTTCGTGCTTCCTCTCGTTCTATTTTTAAATAATTAAATAATGCTCATGGAACTATTTTCACTTATAAATTAATAGAGCCTGCGAGCTCTTGTTTTACCCTTGTGTGGGTTCTTACTAAACACTTATATTCCGCTATGTGTAGGATTGTATGTTGATGTTGTTATGTATGTTTACTAATCGGTTTTGGCATATGTATCTTTCGGACGTCTTGTATAATTCAGTAAGGATGAACTGCGGTTATTCTTATTGGGTTTTGCGACGGTTGTCCACGTGGCACAGACACGGTCTGGGGCGTGACATAATAAGCCTGAGAAGGGCAGGTCTGGCTCAGCTGTTTCTGCCTGGGTCTATCACTTCTTTTGAAGTTCTTACACATTAGTTCAAATCATAATGGCGATTCAAAAGATGCATGCCTGATTGTTTTTTGGGAAAACTACAGAAAACGTACCTGTGGTTTGGGCCGTTTTCAGATAGGGGCATGTGTTTCATTTTATAACAAAGTGGGGCATGTGTTTCAATTCCGTTATCATAGCAGGGGCATGGTGTCTAACGCCGTTAGAAAAATTAACCCCGATTTTAAAAAGTCTTCAAAAAATTAAAAGAAAAATACTGGGAGGTGCGCCTAGTCAAGGAGATCAACAAACTATCTTTATTTTTTTGTTTCCAGCCACCATATCTCCAGAAAGTCCATCAGAAAATTGATATTAGCGAATTTGTTTTAAAAAAATAACCCCAATAGAGCCGAAAAATCCAAAGAGAAAGATAGTTTGTTGATTTCCTTGACGAGGCGCACCTCCCAGTATTTTTCTTTTAATTTTTCGGAGACTTTTTAAAATCGGAGTTAATTTTTCTAACGGCGTTAGACGCCATGCCCCTGCTGTGATAACGGAATTGAAACACATGCCCCACTTTGTTTGAAAATGAAACACATGCCCCTATCTGAAAATGGCCCAAACCACATGTACGTTTTCTATACTTTTCCCTTGTTTTTTTATGTTGATCCCTGTTTAGATGTAGTGAACCAAAACATCTTAATGCAGGATGAAAGGAGGTTTCTTTGTAATGCTTTCATCCTTGTCAATTAGGTTTGAGGCTTGGCTCTTTGCACCATTTTTGGCATGCATTAGGGGTGTTGGAATATTTTGAAATGCAACCAAGCATCTCTGAAGTTGCTCAGCGGGTAGCTATTGTCCAAAGAGACGTTAAATGCATTACAGACCTACTGCAAAGTCAAATGAAGAACAACAAGCTTAGCCATTAGGTTAATTTGGTTTGGTTCTGATCATATGCTGTATTGCTATGGTTTATTTCAATGTAAACAATGGTTTCTGTTCATAGTGTTTAGGTATATGTTTGGTTATTGGTAAACCAAATCCATGTGTTTTTCAATGTGAACTTTAAGTATCCATAAGCTTTATGGGTTGTTATTAAAGCGTTGTTATGTAACAAACAATTTATGTGTAGTTGAGTGTGCCGGTATGGCTTTCTAGACTCTAGTAAAGCTTCTTATTAAATATTAAATAATGTGCTGCATTTTTTTTATGAGGTTATTAGTTCTTATTAAAGCTTTTTTGTTAAAGCTTTTATCAGGTTTAATAATTAATGTTTTTTTAGGGTTTTGAAGATTGACAATACTCCGTATGATTAGGCTTGGACCCGGTTTGGGCCGCCCGGCCCGGGACCGGCCCGGCCCGTCACTATACGGGCCGGAACCGGCCCGGTTCTCGGGTCCGGGTCCGGTTCGGGCACCGAACCGGTTGGGGTAGCGGGTCCGGGCTCGGGTCCTGTTTTTGGAGGCCCGGCCCGGCCGGGTCGGGCCCGGGCCCCGGGCCTAACGGTCAGTTTTTTTTTTTTTTAAAAATTCCTTTTAATTTGAAAAAAAAAAACATTTTGGCTCAACAGCCACTTCCCAAACGGCTATATAGCCGTTGGGGGGGGTACCAGGGTGGGTCCGGGGCGTTTGGGGGTGGGGTGGGGGTGGGGGGTGGGGGGGGTGGGGGTTAAAAAAAACCTATAAATACTCCTAATTTTAAACATTTTTTCACACCTCTTCTCCAACTCTCCCTAAATCCTACTCTCTACTCATCTCCAATTCTCCATATTCATCTTCTCAAATTCTCTTATTCTCCTTTATATTTTATTTTACTATTTAATATTTATACAATTATTATATCTATTTATATATTAATTATCTACTTATAAATACATATACTATATTACTTATATTTCTTATCTACTTAATCTCTACTTATATTTCTTAATACATACATACATACTACATCTACTTAATATATACTTTATATAATAAAGTATTAAATATACTTTATAAACTATTACTATATACTTAATACATAATAATATCTACTTCTCTACTTAATAATATCTATTTTATATATACTTATTTTATAATATCTACTTTTATATATACTTTATAATATCTATTTTATATATACTTATTTTCTTATTTTCCAATCTCCAATTCTCCATTATACTCTAATATTTAATTCTTATACAATTATTATATCCACTTAATACATACATTCTACATCTACTTAATATATACTTTATATATTAAAGTATAAAATATAAGTGTATTACTCATCTTATAGTAGTATACTTATATATTATATACTATAAACATTATATTATATATTACTTACTATAACTAGTATTGTACTAGTTAATTAGTTAATTAGCATTCTTGTTACACTTATCATTATAATAGTTAATTAGTTCATTACCATTATTGTTACATTTTTCATTATACTAGTTATTTACTTCATTAGTATTCTCATTAATTAATTGTTAAAACAACTCTAATTCAATAAACTAGTTAATTGTCATTAATTCATTATAGTTAAAGTCACATTTTCTTATTTTCAATTTATATTTGTAGGAAGAAATAGTAGTTCAATCATTTAATTAAAGTACTTAACATTTTATTTAAGTAGTTTTTACTAAATTAAAGTACTTCAAAAGTTGGTATAATTTTAATTTTAAAGTCACACATTAATTCTACTTTGCACTAAATTAGTTTGAAGTATTAATTAAAATAGTTTTAATTAGTTGCATTAGTTTTGTATCCATTATTATATTGGTTGTCAATTAATATTTGTTACATTTTTAAGATGGAAGGTGGTAGATATTCGGTTGATTTGGGTAACCTCCAACGCAATCGAAGGAACGAGATTGGGAGGAAGAAATCCCGCAAAGGTAAAGAACTTGCCGGTTCTTCATCTCAAAGCCGAGATGATTTTGAAACGGGTTACCAAAGGCGAGATGGAGATGCGATGTCCGAAGAACAACTCCAACAAGAATTGGCCCGACATAATAACCGCTTTCTACAACAACAACAAATGCCGACGACCATTGTCGAAGAGGAGCTTGAGGATGAAGATGCGGAGGAATTGGAACCGGAGACGGCCGAGGAGGAGGGTGCCGGCAGCCACGACGCCGACGAGCCTGCCTCATCCCAAACCGCCACCGGTAATAAAAAAAGTAAGTCTGAACTAATGAAAAATAATTTTGATAAATGGAAGGACCCACAAACCGGCTATTGGCACGCAACTTGCAAGTGGTGCAACAACAATTATAGTTTGGGAACCTCCGGCGTATACGGATCCGCCGCAAGGCATCTTAAGGCAAAGCACCCCGTGGAGTATGCAAAATTAGGCGGCGGAACGGGGAAGCAAACTCAAATATCGAGGTTTGCGAATTCTCAACCTTTTGGTAATTTCTCCTACAATGATGCACAAAATTTGACTGGTATGGCTAACTTAATTTGTGAAGAAAATTTGCCTTATTTGTTTTCTGAAAGTCTTGCTTTAAGAGATTATGCACAAGGTAGTTTAAATCCTCAATTTAGAAATTATAGTCGCAAAACTATTAAGAAAGAAATAATAAGGCTTTATAATGCGGAAAAGGTAAGATTACAAAATTTTTTTGCAAACTTTGATGGGCGTGTTACTATTTGTTCTTACATATGGGAGGATGATTTTCATCATTTATATTATTTGGGTCTGACTGCACATTATATTGATGAGGATTGAATATGCATAAACGTGTTCTTGCTTTTCGTGAATTTAATGATCGTCACACCGCTAAACATATTTATATTTTGATTGAGCGTATTTTAATTGAGTATAATTTGATTGATAAGGTGTTTGCTATTGGTTTCGATAATGCTACTAATAATACTGCTGCTATACCTAGATTGCGTGAGTTGTGTGGTGCCAATTCTTTGATGGGTAGATTTTTTCATCAACGCTGTGCATGTCATGTTATAAATTTATGTGTGCAAGACGGTTTAAAAGCGTTAGGAGATTCCATGGAGGTAATAAAGGGGGGGATTAGACGTATTTGGGGGTAATGGTCAACTTAGATTAAAATGACAAAGTTATTTGACTGAAAGGGGTGTGAGATATGTTGCTTTTCCTAAATATCTGAGTATTCGTTGGAATAGTACTTATAAATTACTTAAAGTTGTTCTTAGATATAAAGAACATTTTCCTGCTTTTTTAAAAGAACATGATAACTATATTATAAACGCGGCTGAGATCGACACTTGCGAAAAAATTTGTAATGTTTTGATATTTTTTTTTAATGCTACTGAAACTTTTAGTCATGTTTATAAACCTACCGCAAACCAATTTATTCCACAAGCTGTTAATCTCGTCGATGCTTTTAAAGAAATTCAGAATGCCGTTTTCGTTCATTATTTTTGTGATCATATGAAGGAAAAGTTTTTAAAATATTATGCGCATATTCCCCATATTTATGGTATTGCATTTATTCTCGATCCTCGTTATAGACTTGCTAATTTGGAAGATTGTTTCAACTTCTATTATCTTGCGTTTTTCGGTGAATTTCCAATGTATGACGATAACCCCATAGATCCGAAAACGGAATACAACGAGGTTAGTACTTTATTTTATGCCTTATTTAATGAGTTTCATGCACAATATAGCAACGCTCCCCCTCCCCCGTCATGAACATCTTCATCTAAAGGAAAATCGATTTTTAAATCTGCATTTGGCAATCTTATGAAAAAAACTAAAACAACTCACGTCACTGAACAAAGCGCATTGAATGAGATTACTTTGTATTTAACATATGAAGTTGATTTTGAAGAAAATGATGACTTTGACGTTCTAGACTGGTGGAAGTCAAAAGAAAGAACGTTCCCGATTTTAGCACGGATGGCTAAGCAAGTACTATCAATGCCGGTTTCAACAGTTGCTGTGGAACAAGAATTTAGTTCGGCCGGCAACGTCCTAACGGCATCTAGATCGAGATTGAGCGCGGAGTCTCTTGAGACGCTTATATGCTACCACGATTGGTTGAAGGCTGCACGTAGAACTCAAGAATTGAGCATCACCCCCTCCCAAGATTTTATGGATGACTCAACAACCGATGGTGGCTCTACCTATGCCGGAGATTCCGATTGATTAGTATTTTAGAATTTATTATAAAATGTATTTTATAGCACTTGTCAAATTTATTTATACTTGTACTTCATATTTCAAAATTGTAAACTTGTACTTCATATTTCAAAATTGTAAATTTGTAGTTGTACTTCAAATTAATTTGTAAACTTGTACTTCATATTTCAAATAAATATGTGTTCACTTTTTCATATATATGTAGCACTTCTCAAATTAATTAATTGGTTACAATCTAACGACTTAAAATTATTTTTATAAAATATAAAGCCGGTTTTTAAATTAAAAATACATTTACAATATGTAATTTGTTTAAATACTTATACACCTATTTTGTAACATTTGTAAATTATAAATCAAACCACTTTTCTAAGTACAAATAGTTTTAGTTTTACTTAATTCATTAAATTAATTAATTTATTTTACAATATGTGTATAACTTAAAAAAAAATTAAATCAAACCTCCCAAACGGCTATATAGCCGTTGGGGCTATGGGTGGGGGGCAGGGGGTCCCGGGGGTGGTGGTGTGGGGAGTGGGGTTCAAAAACATCTATAAATACATCTATTTTCTAACATTTTCTACACCTCTTCTCCAATTCTTCTCAAACTCTTCTCCATCTTCATCTTCTCTTATTATCCTACATTCCTATTATAAGCCCTGTGAAACAAAAACACAAAACAACTATCAATTATCCATTCTTTTATAGTATCACCTTAGATGATTGGCAGTGATGGCTCTTAATTCCTTCAGAGGCTCCGGCTCGCGTGGATACACGCTTGTCTCAAGAAGATACTGAATCCATACAATATCCAATGGATAAATAATAATAATTGCAGATTATTATCAACAAAACTTACATTCCTTCCTCAGACTCAACTTTGCAAATTTACCATTCACTTTTTTTGAACGAAATTTACCATTCATTGTTCAACAGAAATTCATCTTTTCTTCTCTAATTCAAATATTAACTTGTTATTGAATTCAAGTTCCTATTTGGTCTTCAACAAAACATTTAGCTTAGTTTCCAAATAAAAATGAATAAACTCTATCTAAGAATTAATAAAGGATGCAAATATAAAGATATTGAAGTAAACTGAGAGATCAAAGTCCACAGTTCTTGACTCTTTGTGAAGACTCCAATTTCCATGGGTACATATCACCAGATGCAGATCAAAGTCCATTCCTGATACAGTTCTTGACTCTGCAACAACCCTTTTTCAATCATTGACGTGTTTTTATCGGCCATTTTCTTCTTCAAAGACGACAGAGACGAGTAGGCGACCCGTTTTCTGGTTTGATAATAGTTGAGAGTGCAGAAATGATGCTGGTACTCAAAATTATTCCTAGAATCTGTTTTTTAGAAGTTAGGGTGACCAACTTCTAAAAACTGATTCTGATTCTGTTTCTGTTTTAAAAAAGAAGTAGAAGTAGAATCAGTTCCAAACACCTCCATAATAGTTTTTGAAAAAAAAATAATACTATGACAAAAATAATACTATTACACTAGTTAGGGATAAAAATTAGGAAAAATTGACAAGAATAATCCCACCTTTCACTGGTCTTCTCATAATAATCCCACCTTTAAATAATCCCAAAATAATTCTACCTTTGCACCTCACCTCCTTTCATTGGACCCTGACCAAGTTTTTTTTATCTTTTTTAAAAATCTTATATAAATAATCTCACATTTATAAGGATATAATTAAAAAGTGAAAGGTGAGATTATTTTTGTATAATTTTCAAAGAAAGAGTAAAAAACATGGTCAGGGTCCAATGAAAGAAGACGAGGTGCAAATGTGCGATTATTTTAGGATTATTTAAAGGTGGGATTATTATGAGAAGACCAGTGAAATGCGAGATTATTCTTGTCAATTTTTCCTAAAAATTAAAAATAGAATATCTTTGAAAAATTTCAAAAAAAGACGGTCACTTTTACATTTATCACTCGTTGAGTCGCTGATAACTCCATTGCTCGATATGAAATAATTTATGTATGGGGAAAGTTCCCGAAATGGGACTAAAAAAGTTTGAAAATTCCAAAATAGCACTGTCATGTTTTTATTCACAAAATAGGACTAATTACTGACAATTTTGGAAAATACTGCCATGTTTGAAGTCTGGTACTGCCAAAACATGACAGTAATTAGTCCCATTTTGGGAATAAAAACATGGAAGTCCTATTTTGGAATTTCTAAACTTTTTTAGTCCCATTTTGGGTAATATCTCGGTATGTATACATAAATATGTGGACTTTAATCAAACAAAGAGTCATTATCTCATACAAAATGAAATAGAATAAAGAGAGTTTCTTTCCACATTAATGTTACAAAAAATATTTACGGAAATAAGTTATGGTTAAAACAATTTACGAAACTAGTGCTGGAAACTAACTATAGTTGACAGAGTCGCCAAATGAAAGGGCGACTTACGCTAAACTAGGGACTAGGGGTGCTAACGAGCCGAGCCGAGCCCGAGCCCGAGCATGGGTATGCTTGAGCTTGAGCTTGATAAGAATTCACGAGTTCGATCTCGAGCCGAGCTCAGCTCGAGCTTCATTCGAGCTTGATTCGAGCTCAGGTCAAGTTTCGCTAATTAATTTTTGTAGGTTTGAACTCGAATAAGATGCTCGAACTCAAGTTAAAAATATTATATGTGTACTAATTCATTCTCATTTTTAGTTTATCTCTAATTTACTAACATTTGTATTCTTTATTTTACTATCAATAAATATTAAGAGTACATAATAGTAATACTACACACATGTTATTATTTTTGAAATTATTATGATGGAGTATATGGCTCAGGAACCTCCGGCCCATAGACTCCTACTTTCCCCACAAAGGCCCATTGAGCCCAAGGAACATCTGAGGCCCAAGTACACCGGCCCAAGTCTCAAAGAAACCCAAAGTGCACACTAGGATGCCTTCAGCCTCCTTGGCCGAAGGCTCCAAAAAACTCACAGGATAGCCTTTTTGGGCATACGAAGCTACTGGGAGAAAACGGCAGAAAACAGGAGCCTTCGGCACTGTTGAGCCTTCGGCATCGGAGAAGCCTTCGGCTACACAGAGCCCTCGGATGCGTGAAGCCCTCGGCTACATGAAGAGCCTTCGGCTAAACAGGCTCAATCATCGAAGATTCCCATTGGAGACAGCCAACCACCGAATTTAATGCAATGTCACACCCACCCACCGCGTTCAATGCGGTGAACATGCCACTGCCGGTGCCACCCCGGTTGATGTGACCCCTCGGCCGTTGGATTACTGACACATGTACTCTCATCGCATTTATTGCTGCTATAAATAGCGGCCCATTTCTCCTTGTAAACGATCCCAACACATCTTGAGTTCATTTAATAAATCGACTCTCTCTCCTATTTTGCTCTGACTTCTCTCTAGTTATTCCCGCAATAACCCTTCGGATAAGATACCCCCAGGTAGACTATCCATCATATTACTATTGATAAATATTAAAAATGGAATAGTCTTAAATTAGAATATATATTTCAAAAAAGTATATATATAATTATTACACATATATTTATTATATATAAAATATGACACAAAAGCTCGTGAACCGGCTCGCGAGCCACGAGCCTAAAATAAATAGGCTTGAATAGAACTTGTTAGCTATTCGAGTCGAGCCGAACTCGAGTCGAGCTTAATATGACCGAACTCGAATCGAGCTTTTTCCGAGCGATCCACGAGCAGCTCGCGAGCAGCTTGGCTCATTTACACCCCTACTAGGGACGGAAGAACAGTCGTTGCATAGGAAGGGTGCTGGGTGGGATCTAAGTAAAAAAGAAAACCCCATTTTTGTTTAAAGTACTATATCTTTTACAATTTTGCTCCAATTTTTTTAAAAAATATACCAAATTTCATAACTTTTTACGATCTTTCATATGCCACCAATATTGGATATATAAAATTAAAAAAATCTGAAGCACACATGAGGGTGAATAAATTTAAGAAGCAATATTTGTTTAAAAAATATGTTCCAATGGTTGGATTTTAAGAAAAGTCACAAACTTAAAACATGACCGAGTGGGTACTTTTTCATATAATGGAGAATGTTTCCATTTGAACTGTTTTTAGTCACAAATTAGACTAGATAGACCATACTTATAAAATATACAGATATTGGACACTTACCAGACCATACCATACCAGTTTAGATCACACCAAACTAGACCAAACTTCAACAGAACAAACCAAACTAACAAATTTCAGTCCAAGTAAAAACATCTCTAGGACCAACAATATATTTAGCAAACATATTTTGTTGCTTGAAATGAAAAAATTATTTAATATAGAGTATATGTAAACATAACCGTGAGATCTTAATTTTTGAATCTAAGGATGTTTTTACTTATTTTAGATGAAATTTTTCAAAAAATACAAAATATATCTCTTACAATTTTGCTCTAAATATTTTAAAAAATATACCAAATTCCATTATTTTTTATAAGCTTTCATGTGACACTAATATTACATACATAAAGTTTAGAAAAACTGGAGACAATATGGGTGAAAAGAGCAGTTGCCACCTTGCTATGTCAATGAACGTAATTCTAAATCAATATTATTTTAACAAAAATAGGAAAATGTAATTATTAAGCTTAGGTTCAAAATTTTTCATAATTAGATTCAAGTTTAAAAATTAAGATCTGATATTTATTTTTACTTATTTTTTTAGACATGTTTTTCATCTTAAGCAAGATAAAAACTATATTTGGTGAAGCGCTGGATTGTGTGGAAAAACATGATTGAGTGGGTATTATTTTTCATTTAATCTAGGACGTTATAAAATATTTTATATTATTGATCGAGTGGGAAAAACATGATTGAGCTAAAAATATTTTTAGCTTGACAGATATAAACAAAACAGGCCAAAGCTGGCTTCCATAGCTATAAAATACACAAAAAGATCATATATTTGCTTGACCAGACTAGCAAATATAAAATTTATGTAAAAACATCCTTAGATTCAAAAATTAAGATCTCACGGTTATGTTTACATAGACTCCGTATTAAATAATTTT